CAGCGCTAAAACAGCGCAGAGTACCGTCTCTGCCGAGCTGCTAGAATTTTGTCTCTGTATCAGCCATGGCGCAGCGCAGTTTTAGGGATAGATGGCCGGTTATAGTTTCACGGCTCCATCCTGCTAAAGCGCGACCAGCCCGGCTAAACCCGGCGCCGGTCTCGGCTCAAAATTTTAACTGGGCATCGCCTCGGTTTTGTTCTGAAGTAGAAAAGAAAAATACTCTTAAATTGCTGCTTATAAAGAAATATAAATAACTAATTAGCGAAATAATCGAGTTATAATTGGCAAGAATGATTCAATAGTTAAATGAGATAATTACCTTAAATGAAAAATCCATTTAAGAGGCTGCAGCCAAGTAATTGAGCCGATTTTAAGTTAGTAAGGAAGATTAGTCCAGTGACTGTTTAATTTAACGCATGCGGTTAATTGGAATTGATAAGAGTTGCTGAGAAGCAACTAAGATTTTAATTTGAACACACTGGACTAATGAAAATAATAAGAGAATGGCATGCAAATGATGGAGGTTGATGATATAAGAGGAAATTTAATGATTTAATAGAGGCAAGATTCGCTGGCAAAACCGGCGGCTATCAAGGCTCGTCTCCTTTTTAGATCAAAGGTACGGAGCGAAGTAAACTCTTTCTTCACTTTAAGAAAGATGGAAATTTTAAATATAAATTCTAACATTTCAAAATCTCTACTAAATTAAATTTCTAATAGTAGGAAACAAGCTAGCCTAAGATTTACTTAAATTCGTCACGAATTTCAATTCTCCAGTCTAAGTTACATCAGAAATTTTCATAAAACTACATGCCAAAATAGCTTTGCAAATACCTACCTAACATTGCCCAGGGTTTTAACCCCCATTCTCTGCTTAATTTTAAATTCTCTAGTTACCCATATGCCAAATCTGTTTATTCCCACAGCGTTCATACAACCAATTTGCATTCCGGCTGATTTTGACCCGAAAACCCGGACTGCGTCGGATGTCAACCCGCTGGCTTCGGCGACAGGCTAGGGGAAGACGGAGAAGCTTGACTCCTCCCCAGTGCTGCAGGAGATCAAACTCCCCCTGGTGGACATGCAGCGCTGCAACGCCTCCTACGCGGGCATCCTAAATGATAAACAGGTGAGGGCAGTGCAAGCAATCACTCGGGTATTGTACCATCCGCGACCAATTATCCTCTATGATATCACCGCACTAACTTTAAACTAAGGGCAGGGTGGCCCGGTTCTTTTAGTTCAGTATACCAGGATTGGAACAGTTAATTGCGAGTTCAATCCAAGCTTCCTTAGACATTTATGGTCAAAATCGGCGAGGAGGCTAGGCTGTTAAGAATCGGCAACAGGCCAACATTACCTAATCAACTCAGACACCGCAATATCATTTATTAGTGCGGCGAAGTTTGAGAACAAGGTATTCGCGACCATCGTGTGATATCTTGCTCTGACCCCAGACAAGGCAGTTGCTTCTATCGATTGTGTAGTTTTTTCCAAATGATATCTGAGCCAGCATGAATTTTGGGGCTACGAGTGCCTTTCAGGTGTCCGAGGAATTGCAACGGTTGGCTGGAATTAATTGGATTCGGCCGACCGCTGACCACCCCTTATTACTGACCGCTAGGTTACATGCTATAGCAGCCTCGTGCGGTGCCAGCTGAGCAATTTGCCAGCTGAGTCGGTGTTTCCCCATTCCATCCCCACGCCTTCATCAGAAGTCTTAGTATTCGGGATTTTCACTCCACGTGTGAAGATGCGTACATTTAATTAGTTTCTTGTAACAAATATAAGGAGGCTGATCAAGAATGCAGAGTATTCCAATAAGTGGAGAAAATAAGTAAAACCAATCGACATCAGCAAAAAATTATGGAGAAGTAGCACAATTCCTGGTAATTAATATGCAAAGTGTCTTGAAATCTTTCTTCATCATAACTCTTTTGGATCCAAATTTTTTTATTATTGCAACTGCCCACTGACAACAAATAGATAAGCATATAAAAATATTCAGATTGATATCTAATTTACGAGTTAAGTTTAAGTGAACCTACTTAAATGAAGAGATCCCATAGGAACCAGGCAAGCCGGTCCGAGGCACTCGATATTCCCCTTAACATCATCAACCCTGCCCTTCTTTCTTCCAGATATGCGCTGGGGGAGTGAAGGGGGAGGACTCGTGCGAAGGAGACAGCGGGGGTCCTTTAGTGACCACGAGCAAGGACGGGGACAAGCACCTCCTCATAGGACTCACGTCCTTCGGTGGTATCCTATGTGGCGGACACAACAGCTACGCAGTCTACACGGCCGTCCACAAGTACCGGGACTGGATCATCCAGACCCTCGCGGTATAGGATCTTGGGTGAGACCCTGGGTGTCCAAAGGGTACTAGGATTTACCTAAGACATGTGGTCAGACCCTGGGTGACTAATTTCTTTGGTTTAACGCAGGATTATTGTCAGATGTCATACACTAGATGTTCAGGGTATCAAGTTTACCTTAGGAAGCTCAAAAATTTAGCAGTTTGCCATGCCGGGGGTTGAGTTCAGGTGCTCAGGCAGCTGGTACAATAGAATGATCATCGGCATTAGCAGCAGGTACAGTGGTCTATAAATTGTATTTAGAACTGGTACAATAGCTTTGCAGCAGGACAGTATTTTACAGGATAACTAAATTTATGCAGGTTTAGGGTTTGAACGGAAAGATTAGCGAAACTGAAATAGTTTATAAATGTGCTTCACGAATGTAACAAACATAAAATCCTACAGGATCTGAGTATAACCTTCACTGGTTATTCGGATATAGCAGTATAGATCTAATAAACAATTTCCTGTAGTAAAGTATCATAGAAATGATACAGTATCAACATAATAACGTGGATAATGAAACCACAAAGATGACAATACTATTTAATGGATAAGTCCTAGGTAAATTTGAACCCTATTTTCAGTCCCCCTCACACTACAATAAAATTACACCATTCCCGTGCGTTTTAATGCCCCCTTAACTACACTGTTGTCGTGGATAAATAAATGAATATTTTCAGTCCTTATCCGGCATCAGAATTTCAGTCCTGGATTAAGGATTATAGGAGACGGATTGATTAAGGATCACGTCCGGCAAGTTCCACATAAGGGTAACTTAAATCAAGAACTCAGGTTTAGCAATACTTTGAAATAAATGAGCATTTACTTAGTCACCCCTCCTTCCACTGATATTTTACTCAGGTTAGGAATCATGGGGCCATACTTTCACAACTCGCTAAGTTAACGTAAGTACTTACGCTCTATTTTCTCGTCTATGATTGGTGGATTTTGCTTGAAAGGCCGTCAATGATTGGCTGATGAACTTGCGACCTCTTAACTTTTTTTTTGAAAGTATAGGCCCTGGTCACATATTCCGTTCAATCAGAAAAATCAATGGATCAAATTGTTCAAATTTTCACACGCTTTCATACTCACAATCAAATCAGAGAGCGGATGTAGCACTGATACGTCCTCTTGCCAGGCCAAACTGAGTCAATATGACACACATAAGTGTACCAATATTCGGGTTCACTTCTGAAAAAACTTTAAAGGAATAAGCCTCATTTATTCCTTTGAAATAAAATAAATCTCTGCCAGCCGTTAAAAAAAGTATACATGCCGTCAGTTTTCGTTTGTTTTCGTAAATTCGTTCCTCTAGTTTCGTTCACTAATCGTTTCGATACATCATCGTTTCCTAGCGTTTCTCGCATGGCTTTAAACCGATAGCCAGTGATAGGGAGTTATTATTATATTATATATACGTATTATGTACATTTTAAATATATATCATATTATTTTTAGGATTTATCCTTATATTATTTATTTTATAATATTATATTTCATTCAGTGACCATTTCACGTACTTTATCCTACACCGAGTATCGCTTCAGAAGCCTGCCATTATCTCCATTTCAACGGACCACATCCTGTAGGATTCCACCACGCCTGACTTTACTATAGTTTACCACTTAAACCCCCGGAAAATCTTGTATGTGTTTTTCCCATAGAATTTCCATTAACCGCTGCGAAAAATTCCCAGTAAATCCACTGTACATGTATGGGTCATGTAGTCCAAGTAGCTACACTCTTTCCGCTTGTATATAATATGTGTAACAATACGAATTTATGTATACATATATATATTTTGTAATATATATATATATATATACCCATATAGCGACACACTTTCATCTCGATGCACTGACACACCCTTATGCCAGGCCAAACTGGGTCAGGATGACCCGCACAAGGCAAAAAGTGCATCGCTATCTGGACAAAGTTGCGCTGAGTGTATGGAGACTTGCGCTGAGTGACTAAAGCGTCACCAGTCCGTCCACGAGGCTCGACACCTCGCATTTACTGATGGAACGACAGCGCTGCTCTGCGTGCATCAATGACGGTCCTGAGAGGGAAAATATGGAATGAATACAATCAACATCTGTTTTAATCATCAACCCATAAGATTATCTAAATATTGAAACAGAACCAACTCTACAGTTCACTGGCATATTTTAATACAGATCTGAGCTGACTTTCAGTGAAGTGTCGATAAATTGGTGACATTTTTGACAATGTGCAGAATATAATCCAAGAAAGATTCTTCTAACTTTAAATTAAAATTAAGACAGCTTGCCAAAGACGAAAAGAGCATGGGCCGTATGGCCTCTTTCATGGAAAGCTCAAATGAAGAGTCAGCTCCTTTACCTTTACTTCTAATGAATCCAGTCACAAGTCAAAGTATATGGCAATGATGATGCCGAGAAGTGTAGTAGGTACTGCAATACTTCTTGTAGGGGATCTTCTGCCTCCACTTCCATGTCTGGCTCTGCAGGTGATTCAGCTGGAAAATAATTGTTGTGTTGTAAATTATGCTAACTCTAATGCCACAGTACAAAATTTGTTATTTAATTGAGAAATTATTAAACTAATTACCTACTGTTATAGAGAGGTTTAATTCAGCAAGCATTGCTAGAAAATCTAATCATAATACAATACACATAAGTTTTCATTTAAAGCATATTCTATGGATAGAGCATTGCAGAAAAATAATATAGAAACTTCAATTGTACATGGTAATCAATACTCACTTAATTGTTTAAGAAGACTCTTCCAGGCTCTTGGATGGCTTTCAGCACTTCTAATGTCTGGACTTTCAGGCAGAAATGCTGCTGGGCGCTTCTTAATTTGAGCCTAGGTACATTTCTTTGTCATTATGGATCATTCCTTGATGATTTTTTAAGTAAAATTTAAAAATTATTTGCCTAATTAACAAATTTTCTTAATTGGTTCATTTTGAAATTGAAATCAGGGATAAATGACAGTAACATCAGTGATTCTGTGGCTAGTAATGAAACAATAAAATGTTATAACGTAAATCAACAATGCAGACATGTGATGAGATGCATCAAATGCAGGTTTTTATTCAAGAAAGGAATTGTCCTCAAATGAGGTACTTGAGAAACTGGAGAGCTGGGCTAATTCAGATCAATAAAATGATGCTAATGTGTTTTTGATTTGATTGGGAGAACAAAAATGATGGAATTAATATTATTTGTGAAACAGCAATATATATACAAAGCAAATATTATTACAGTCTTCTACAGATGAACTTGTGGCAGTGAAGAACTAAACAGAATTTTTAAAAAGTAACTTAACTTGCTTGATGGATTTTTGTTTGCATGAATTTCATTTGCCAAAACTTCAGCAATTATTACACACACAATTTGCATCTTATCCTCACAATTATCCCATTGCTCATTTCTAGATATTTCTACTCTAGTATTTTAAATACTGGAATCATATATTAGGTCAACACGTAGGATGCTCTTAAACAAACTGAATCCACCCTTCCATTTTGTGCAGCATTCAGCATTTTTACCCTATCAGTTGTATCATGCTAAATTTGCTATTATTATTAACAATGAAGATTTATTTTGGAATAATAATTTAGATAAATACCAACTCTTAATTGTTCAGAGCTTTGAGTTCTTGTGTATTATCAATTGGCCCACCACCCCTACCTGAGACATTGAAGAAGAGAGGCTATTTCAGTCAAATATGTTGTTGAATGTACCTATTTCTTCATCAATAATAACAAATTAATTTTTTAATAATCAACTAGTCTTTTAATAAAGCAATAACACATTTAGTCAATATATAAAGCACTACATTTTTCAGGCACAAAAAAGCTCGGCTGAAAGTAGCTTTTTGTGACTGAATAAAGTATTGCTTTATTTACTAGTGACTAAATAAGGTATTCATTTATTAAAAGACTAGTTGATTAGTGAATAAGTAATTTTTTATTAATAATATGGCAATACATTCAACACTTTTAAAAATGACTGAAGTAGCCTCTCTCATTCTTTGTCTCAGCCTCAGGTAGGGCCCTAGCTGGAAAATTGGGCAATAGCCACCCGTGAATTGGACAATAACGCCTGTGAATTTGGCCAATTTTGCCCATCCCTGTGGCATTTTCCTATCTTCTTTGGTGGGAACAAGGAAAAACGGCTTACTTTTTTCAGCAGCTTTTTAAAATCCACTGTGAAACAATTATGTTTGCCTGCAATTTTGGAAACTTCTGACCAATATTCCAAATTGGGGTAGGGCTGGTGGGCCGATTGATGGTACATCAAAAGTGAAAGCTCTGAACAACTAAAAGAAAATATTAATGCAAATTATTATTCCTAACTGATTCTTTATTTCACTAATATTAGTAATTTTAGCATGTTATTATGATGAGAATAATAGGGTAACAATACTAAATCTCAACTTATTGAAGAGTGGACAAAATTTGTTTCAGGTCAGCCAAGTTGCCAATATTGTCACACAACCTGTGATTTTAATTTCAACCTGTTCACAGAATTTATAGTAACAAAGCAGAAATATTTAGAAATTGGTGATGGGCTAACAATGGTGATAAGATTCAAACTTTAAGTTGTGCACTAATCTGTTGAAGTTTTGGCATATAAAATTGACTTAAACAAACATATTAACCAAGTTAAGGTAGTTAGTTCACTGGTCAACTGTAAAAGAGACCAAATCAGAGTGGAACTCTAGGGTAGACGAGCCATCTATATTTCAAGAAGCTGGCTCACTTGTTTAACCATAATCACAATGTCAGTAAGGTTTTAAAGGGAAGCTTCAGTTGCAAAAATTCCAATACAATATGATATTCGGACCTGCTCATTTATTACCTCTCACAAAACTACTTTGTGAGCAATGTAAATAGTCAGAGACAAATCGTCACTACAGTAAACTGACTAAAGTCACCATTCGCCCGGGCCGCGCCGACGCACCGCTCCCTAGTCCCTAACCCTACTGCACCTAACTCAACAAAGCCCTCAATAAAACTATTCGAATACCACAAGAATAGAAGCACTATATCCTAAAAAAAGTATCAAAATTTAATAAATAACAGGTTGTTTCTCCTATACCTCGTTGCAAAGCATCACTGGCTGGCTCTAGTCTACACTTGGTACAGAGTTCAGCAGTCGACTGATCGAACCAACGCAACTCAAAGTATCAACACTCAAAGTATAGGAGAATAAACATGAGCAACTCAACTGAATAACACACGATACGTAATCATTTTTATAAAAATCACAGCCAAAGACAAAAAATAGTACAAACCAACAAAAATGAATTGAATAAATTTAGCTCCTAAGCGATATCTTCCACTCAAGATGGCGTCTAGGTATTAACTCGACTGATGACCGTGGCGCCATCTATAGTCTAACAAACCACGGTAAATTACCGAGTGACCAGATTACGGTTGATGAGCGTCGAAAAATAACGTTTGTTGCTCATTTTTCGCCCGTTTTTTCTAACAGTGTGGAGCGAACTTGACGAAACTGACTGGAGAGAAGAGTTTCACGATATGAATGCAGAGGAAACTTACATGAAACTTTGTGAGAAATTAGCACAGGTATGTGTGCGTCATACCCCGGGAAAAACGGGACCCAAAGTCCGCAGCATTCCGGGAGACCGACGAATCCTTATGAGAAAACGCACATGTTTGAATAAGCAAATAGCTGAGTCCACTAGTGATCTGAGGAGACAGAGACTAGTAGATTTACACAATGAAATTGAACTCAGGTTGCAGGAATCGCATAGGATAGAAGAACAAGCTGCCGAGGAACGAGTAGTGGAGGTAATCAGAGAAAACCCGAAGTACTTTTTCAAATACGCCCAGTCCAAGGCTAAAATAAAGACGCCAGTGGGTCCGCTGAAGGATAACGATGCCCTTGTTGGAGATGACAAGGGTATGTGTGAGTTACTGGGATCCCAATTAGAATCAGTGTTCAGCAACCCTCGCTACACAAGGGAGGAGAACGAAATCGAAGTTCTCCAGGAACTACCAGGAGGAAGGGGGTTGGAGAATATTGAGTTTGGGCCAGAAGATATGGGAATAACATCAAAGAATTGGCGACGTTTTCAGCACCAGGACCCGACGGAATTCCGGCAGTGCTGTTGAAGAAGTGTGTTGGAGCACTGAAGGTGCCGCTCACAATGCTCTGGGAAGCCTCGATGATGGAGGGAATTATTCCTGAGGGCCTAAAAGACTGATAACGCCAATCCACAAAGGAGGTGCGATGGATAGACCTCAAAATTACAGACCTGTGACCTTGACCTCACATGTGATCAAGGTTTTTGAGAAGGTAGTGGTCAGGAGGCTTGTCCGGTATAAGGAAGAGGCTGACCTGTTTAATAACGGACAACATGGTTTCCGGCGTAATCGTTCCTGTTTGTCACAGTTACTGGAGCAGCATCACCGTCTAGTGGCCCAGCTGGAAGAGGGAGCTGGCGTGTACGTGATATACCTAGACTTTGCTAAAGCTTTTGACAAAGTTGACCATGGGGTGCTCTTTAGAAAGCTGAGGCTGTTGGGGGTAGGAGGAAGCCTGTTCAGGTGGATCCACAACTTCCTTACAGATAGAGTACAAGCTGTCGCAATTGGAAACTCGAAATCGAGAGAAGCGAAGGTGAAAAGCGTAGTCCTGGAGGGCTCAGTGCTTGGACCGATCCTCTTCCTCATCCACATTGCCGACATAGACTCGGAACTCACCCACGCATCTACATCATCATTTGCGGACGATACAAGAGTGGTGATGAATATCACAGATGACCTAGACTGCGAGAGATTACAGGATGATCTATCGTCAATCTACCATTGGGCCCTAGTGAACAATATGCAGTTCAACGGCACCAAATTCGAAGTAATGAGATACAGAGTCCGCACAGAGATCGGGATGCCACATCGCTACTTGGCATCAGATGGCACAGAAATCGAGGAGAAGCAACTAGTTAGAGATCACGGAGTGTTGATGAGTACTGAAGCCACGTTCGATGCCCATATCGAGGAAATAGTCGCGCGCAGCCGGCAACGGATGGGGTGGATATGGCGGACATTTCGAACGAGGGAAGCAGCACCAATGATTACACTCTTCAGAGCCCTCGTGCTCCCCAATCTTGAGTATTGCTGCCAACTTTTGGTCGCCACTCAAGCCGGGTGCGTGCGAAAACTGGAGGCAATTCAGCGGACCTTCACGTGTAGGATCAGCGGCATGAGGGAGCTGAACCTGAACTACTGGGGAAGGTTGAAACACCTGGAACTGTACTCACTGGAGAGAAGAAGAGAAAGGTATATCATACTGTACACTTGGAAGATGATAAACGGACTAGCTCCCAACTTAGAGAGTGAGACCTCCAAAATAATGACATATTACAACGAAAGAAGGGGGAGACTGTGCAGGATTCCCCCATTTAATAACCGAGCCACGGCCAGAGTACAGACTCTTCGTGAGGGATCACTGTCCGTGGTAGGACCGAGGCTCTTTAATGTCTTGCCAAAAGCGCTGAGAGAAAGGGAGCTCACCCTTGCAACATTCAAGAGACGACTGGACAAGTGGTTGAGAAAGATCCCGGATTGCCCAGTAATGGGAAACTACCATCAGCAAGTGACAAGCAACAGCATCTTGCATCAGCTGGCCCAAAGGAGGGCAAATAGACGAAACACGTCCAACGTTACATCCGACGACGACTCGGAGATGGAGGACGACGAAGGAGGCGCATCAGCGTGACCGTGGACTACGACGTCCTAAACTCATCACAAGGTCACAAGGAATGTTTTGATAATGCCAAAATTATGGTGTACTTACGTAACACGTAATTTTTTGTCGTAAGTACAAAAAGTAACAGAGTTTTGATAATACGGCCCCAGGAGGATATTCTAGGAAAGAGACACAAAAGTAAATCAATACTGTCATTCCATATATATTTTGAATCAATTTTGTGAAAAATGATTAAACAATTGAAATGTATCTA